TTTACATCTTTAATGGCAAACCAAGCCTCCCTCGTTTTAAACCTCTGCTGCCTTGTGCTACTTCTGTCTAACTCAATTCAGGCTGATTCCGATGACAATCGAAAGGTATGTTATAACTGTGAGAATATRTTTGAATATGTGGAACCTCTATTAAATTACTCTTTAAAAGAGCCCTTGAAGAGAATAATGGRTTTCCATGTATAAAGCTAAAGTTTACGACCTCTCTAGGGACTCGACACTCTGGAACAATTTGTACTCGTCTAGTCCCATATATCCCCACATCGGCCAGACCTGTAATATTCCATAATATATGTTGGAACTTCGTTTATCTCCTTAAAAAACTCTTAATTTGGTGATCAATCACATATCCTCACAATAAAATCCATCTCCTATTCCATCTATCTTTTACTTCAAGTTTAATTGATGGAAGTCGAAATAACTGGTTTTATGCAGGTACATGTGGTGTATATGGGACAGAAAACTGAAGATGATGTCTCTGCATCATCCCTTCACTTGAGCATGCTACAGCAAGTTGCTGGCAGGTCCTCATCTTAATTAATCTCTATATATGTTTAATATGCATAATAAAAATACGATACATATATATATATAGGTTCTATGTACATACAACTTTATCCATTTCTAAAGATTCAGAACCTTTGAACCTATCTCCAACATAAGACATACCATCATACCAAGGCTACACTACAGCAAAATCGGGTTTATAAGACATTAAAAACGTTTTATAAGAGGCCACAAATATTTTAAGTGTCTTAATAAGACTTCGTTATAGGAACTAAGTTTATAGAATCAAATAGACATGCACCCGATGTAAACGTGTTGCAATAGATTTATAGGACGTTTTTTTGGACTTTTTAACAAAAATAATTGGACAACTTTTTGATCTAAAGCGTCTTCTTATATATAGGACATTATTCGGAAAAATAAAATGTACTATAAAAAAAATTAATACGACACTATATTTCAAAAAGTCTTAAAACCTATTTAAGACATCCAGAAACATCATATAATTAAACTTTTTTTAATGGATTTATATAGGACACATAATTGTTTGGTCATGTAAAATTACATCCAATAAAGCATTCTATTAATTAAAACACTTAGATATATGTGGCTATAAACCCGGTTTCCTTATAATGTGGGAAGAAAAAATGACTGAATATAATAATATAAATAGGACCAATTAAAATGATGGTAAATTACGAAGGCTTTTAGCGATGAATGGATCCATCGGAAATCCGTTGGTCGTCTGAAACTTGCTCGAAACARAAATCACAACAAAATTGSGTTTATAAGACTTAAGTTTATRTGACCAAACAATAAAATTCATATCTAAAGGCGTCGTAATAACTTAATAGGACGCTTTTGGGAGCCATGTAAAGTTCTAAGGACATTTTTCCAATAAGACATCGTATTAGTTATTTTATACGACAATATTTGGGAAAAAATGTTTTATAAAAAGATGCATTCGGAGAATATTTCTCGAGAATTTCGTATAAAATAGATAATACAATGTTTTAATTTTAGAATGTTCTAAAAAATTTGTTAAGACACATGAAAACGTCTTATAATTTATTACAACACTTTTAGATATAACATTTTATTATTTGGTTATATAAGCTTAAGTTCTATAAGGCGGTCTATTAGGAGACTTAAACATTGTTGGCTTTCAATAGACGGTATCACCGACAGATTTATGATGGTTGCGATTGTTGTTCGGAGTTCAGATATGTTTTAGAAACAGATGAACTTCCAACACACGGGTGTATCAACGACTTCCTAACAAACACCATCATCGATGGAGTTCCAACGTCTTTCCCAAAGCATCAATTGAATTGTCGACATAAATAAGCCGGTGGATACTGAAATCACACTTTAATGACGAATATTTGGTCRTTCGTATTATTTGAATTTAAAATAATAATTCAAATTAATCGTATTTTCATGTATGTATATATGTATATATATATGCACATCATGTATGTATAATACATATTAAACGAATTAAATAAATTTACAAAATTTTAAGTATATTGTATGTACAACATATAGACACTAACTAGCTAGGAGCTAGGAGGGGGAGGGGGAGGGGGAGGGGGTGCCAACTAAGCAAGGTTTTAAATGTTATGAGGTGTGGTGTGTCAACGAAGGCAAGACTCAAGTCTTAGGAGTCACAATGAAGCCACAACGTTTTTCAAGACGTGACTTATGACGATAAATCTTGATATTATATATTATATACAAATATAAACATATGTTTTCTACTATAACTCAATAAGCCGATGATATCAAACAATTTAAATTAAGTTATATATAAAGAACTAGCAAGTAAGACATAACAATGTACAAATGTCGCGTTACAATCGCTCATTAGGCGATGGTGTATCACATACTTAACTTGGCGTCAAAGACAAGTCTTTAAGTCATGGCGTGTCATGATAGCTGTTGTAGAGAACCTTTTTAGAACACCGGGGCTAATCTAGAAATCATGTTCTCGAAGTCAGAGTTGCACAATCGGCCTTCACCTTGGTTGTACGTGCTTCCAACTTCGCCTCCCGTAGGCATCTCGAGCTACCGAATAGGCCTCCAGCTTGGCCACCCATGTTGCCCGCTTAGGAGTGTCAAAAAAACCGAAACCAACTAACCTAGTGAAATAAAAAAAAATAAAAATAACCGACAATGATTTTTGGTAAAATGGTTTGGTTGACCGAATATGAATAACCTTATTCAGTTTGGTTTCACTTATTTTTTCGTTGTAATTTGATTAAACCGAATACCCTCTTGAAATTCAAATAATTTCCGTCTTCCGTAACTTGCCGAAGTAAATCTTAACCTTTTCATGACCTAGTTTCCCGGGGAAAAACAAACAAACTTTATGTTCAACGATCTTTATTTAAAATAAAACCCTTATTTGCTTTAACTGAAAAATATACCGAATAAATAAAAACGAATCAAAACTGAACCTTATTCAGTTTGGTCAGAAAGTTATGGAAAAACTGAAAACCAAATGAACTGAATCATAATAATTCAAAAACCGAATAAACGGACCGAATAACACCCATATCTGTTGGTCCTCGTCTGGTATCTTTAGTTTTTCTTGTAATTCAGTTGCCCATTATTAATCATTTGATACATGACTAGTAATCTGTAGGCGATGAAAACTAACAACGTAATGTTAAAGAAGAAACGTACTCCGCTGAGGGACAAAGAACATATGATCTCCCGGTACTACAAGTGGCCGGCTTACTCATAGCATAGACGATATCTTGAGTCATGCCATGGCCGAATAGGTGACCCCTTTTCCAACTCCAACACTCTCTTCCCACAATTGTGGATCATGTGGAGGACGAGTGGAAAGCTCAATGCCAGACTTCTTTAGCATATCATGCCCGTAAGCCTCTTACAATTTACAAAAACAATAAAATATTAATAATTTGCTTCATATAATTAATGACCATATATTGAACATTTCCATAACTACAATGACAGTCTCATTGTCAACCAATCTGCTTGACAATCCATACTAAATAACCGTAATACAAATCCAATGCAATCTAATTAACTCATTTTCAAATATGAAAACTTAACTGCGGCTCTAGACCATTCGTGTAATGAAATCTAGAAGATGAATGGGCGGGGGCGATGCCTCCCCGAACGAGTCTTCCTATTTATGTATGCAGTGGGTCCTCTTGAAGACCTCATAAGAAGTTATATATGGGGATGTTTTTGCTACAATAGACAAGTTTGGTTATTAGTATATAAGAAAATAGAATAAATTAAAAAGCATTACAACAATTAATTATTAGAAAAATAAAATTTAAGGAATGTGTCGATAATCCCTGTGTTTTTTATTTGGCACTGTCCATCTGTGACTATAAATATTATGGGTTTCTCTGGACTTCAAGTATCATAAACATAATCTCTTTGATAAGAAACAAGACCAATTAGTTGCTTGCCCATCACTTCATTATGGCAGGGATGGAGGGAAATACATGCTTCAAAGATACACYAAAAGCTTCCATGGATTTTCCGCAAGACTYACCCAAGAGGAGGCKCAGAAAATATCAGGTATATATGCATACATTTAATTTGAAAAGTTGCAGATTGTGTTGTCTGTTCATCACTTAAAGTGCCCAAAACTTGCAACCTTTTAAGCTAAATTATCATGAACAAGATTATATGAATTTAATCAAAGCAACTGAAATTTCATATGTAGGGATGGAGGGAGTTGTTTCTGTCTTCCCCAGCAGAAAAAACCAATTGGCAACAACAAGTTCATGGGACTTCATGGGGTTCCCACTTACAGTCGACAGATCAACAACTGAAAGTGACATCATCGTAGGTGTTTTTGACWCCGGAATTTGGCCGGAATCAGCCAGTTTCTCTGACACAGGATATGGTCCTCCTCCTGCTAAATGGAACGGCATATGCGAAGCCAATTTCCCTTGCAACAAGTAATAAATCCCTTCCTAATATGTATTTTCGATTTTTTACAAAATTCAAAAGCATATCATGTTCTTCAGGAAATCAGAGTTTCAAACCTATGACTTAGTTTCTGGTTTGCTGAGTTTCATGTGTGGGCCAAAACAGTTAAAAACATAATTCTATCTTCATAAACTTCTTTTATCATATACTCGAACAATAAGATTCATGTACACCTTTAATCATATGATTCATATCAATTTCATTGATTTGAACTAAATTGCATAGTAATTAAGATTCTGTAACTTTTCCTTTTTCTGGTTCTTTTTCTCGGCCAACTGTTATTCATGATTTATACAAAGTAAAATTTGATTAGTTTTGAACAAAAATAATATGATTGAATGAGTCTGAAATATAAGAATATGATTAATAAACAGATCTTTATTATGCTACATAAACAGCAAAATAATAGGAGCTCAATACTACAAGGGAGATGGAACGTATGACCCTAAAGACTTACAATCACCAAGAGACTCTGATGGTCATGGAACCCACACCACATCCACGGCTGCCGGAAACTTAGTGAGAAATGCAAACCTATTAGGCCTTCACTCAGGAACAGCTCGAGGGGGTGTTCCTAGAGCCAGGATTGCAGTGTATAAAGTGTGTTGGACASACGGGTGTTCAGATAACGACCTTCTTTCTGCTTTCGATACTGCCATTGCTGATGGAGTTGACATAATCAGCATTTCTCTTGGCTCGTCAAGAGCGGTAGAACTTTTCRAAGACAGTCTTGCTATCGGAACCTTTTATGCCATGATGAAAGGAATATTGACTGTACAATCTGCTGGTAACGCAGGCCCAAGSCCCCAGACCATCTCTAGTATTGCTCCATGGATTCTTTCGGTGGCCGCTGGCACTAAGAACCCAGATTTAATCACCCCAGTAAGACTARGAAACAATATGGTTGTAGATGTGAGTATTATCTTTAACCTATTGGTTTATATTTCATTTATGGAGAAAAATATCTGTTGAATTATTGGTCATCAAGAACGTCATTGGTTGCAAAAAAGAATTCAACAACTTCAACTTATTCATTTTTATCTCAGGGAATTTCCATAAATCCGTTTACACTTGACGGAATGTATCCTTTAGTTTACGCTGGAGATGTCCCGAATATCGAAGCTGGTTTCAACGGCTCAACGTCAAGGTAAAGATTAATGATTTTACTTGAATAAGTTAGTCTCGGAGATTCGTGATGCAATATACAAGATGAAAAGTTAGCTTCCGTATCTTTATGTCGATTTTATTGGAGCAAGAAAAGCACACTATGTTTTCCACATAAAATATATAAAATGTTTTATTAATCACTTCAATAACATAATTACACAGTGGGTATATGAACCCATATTTATAGTTAACCAAACGATGCATCCTTCCATACTAACAGATGCATCCCTTCATGGTACGRTTGACATATAAACCAAGAGGACACCTTTGGTAACTGTCAATAACCACCGGCCCACAGATGTCTATCTTACCTTTAACAAATTTTGTTGGTTTCTCTGATGGGTATATCATGGAATATACTTCAGGTTTTGCATCAACAACTCATTGGACAAGAATTTAGTGCAAGGTAAAATAATACTATGTGATTGGGTTTCGACCGGAGAAGTTGAAATGTTAGTTGGTGCTGTCGGGTCAATCATGGCATATGGCGGACTGTATTTTGAAGCCATTGGTTCATATCCTTTGCCTGTTAGTGTAGTGAACTTCGATCAAGCAGACAGTATCTTTCAGTATATACGCTCAACAAGGTAAATAAACATAGAGTTTCCATTCTAAAGAATAAAACACCTCTTGTTTACATTTTATCTGATCAACATATTTACATTTTCACAAACTAATGAACAAGAAAGTTCTATTCAGAAATGCAACWGCGGTTATAATGAAGAGTGAAGATGTCAGAAACGCGTCATCCCCATTCGTTGCCTCTTYCTCGTCAAGAGGTCCAAATCCTATAAATACAAATATCCTCAAGGTGATTCATGAAGAAATTTAAGGAAATAATCATTTAGAAACCTGTATTATCTAGAAAGAAACACTTGTAACCAGTTTTCATTCGATGCAGCCCGACCTGACAGCTCCTGGAGTAAGAATTCTAGCAGCATGGTCACCTCTGTCTCCAATTAGCCGAGCAGAAGGAGACCACAGAGCGGTGCCTTTCAATATGATATCAGGGACATCAATGGCCTGCCCACACGTTAGTGGTATAGCTGCTTATATCAAATCATTTAACCCAACATGGTCTCCTGCAACAATTAAGTCGGCTCTCATGACCACTGGTAACATATCTAGTCTTATACACTTAGACTTGTCACATTTCTTATATCCAGTGGCAGTGTTAGTTATGTAATTTTTTGTATTATAAAATTGACTGCAGCTTCTATAATGAGTGCTCAGATCAACACAGATGCTGAATTTGCATATGGAGCTGGTTATCTTAATCCATTGAAAGCTATAAGACCTGGACTGGTATATGATGCTAACGAGGTTGATTATATAACTTTTTTATGCCAACAAAACTATAGCAGCCAAGTTATAAGAATCATCACGGGGGTTAATATCAGCAACTGCTCTGAGCTCAAGAAGCAAACCAAGGATCTCAACTACCCTACATTTGTTATCCCAACAATGCCCAACGAGGCCATTGATTTTAACTTCAGCAGGACTGTCACCAATGTCGGCTCAGCAACATCGACTTATAGAGCTTTGATAACTCAACCACGTGTTAGCGGTTTGAGGATACAAGTTGAGCCGAGTGTCCTACATTTTGAAGAATATGGGCAGAAGCTGTCTTTTAAGGTGTCTGTTCAGGCAACCATACAAAAGCTAGACAACCCAATTCTTTCTGGTGGTTTGACATGGGATGATGGAGTGCATCAAGTGCGGAGCCCCATCGTTGTGCATGTTCCTTGATAGTCATCAAATGATCGAGGAACGGATCATACTATTCGCCAATAATATTGATCTTGTTGT